AGCCTGGCTCATGCCTTGGAGTCAAATGACCCTGTGTTGATTCTCAGTAACATCACTAATTAGCTATTTAGCTAGACTTTGGCAAATTACTTTATCTAAACTCCAGTATTCTCAACTACAGAAAATACTTACTTCATGAGATTCTTGTGCAAATTAGGTGAGATAATTATATAAAGTATGGGGCTCAATGTCTAGTATTCGATATATGGTAGCTTGGGTCATTTTCAACATCATCATCTTAAGCATAATAGGCAGTAATCAGAATTTGTGGAATTGAATTAGTTTTCTACATTCCTATTTCCATTCTCATTTTCACATGTGTTAATAATGTTAGAATGATCAGGAGACTGTATTGCTAAGTGTCCTTGTTAACTGCTGAAAACATTTTCATTTTTGTTTTATTTTCCATTTTAGTCCAATATTTTTAGTATTGTTTCCCTATCATAATTATTTTACATTGAATTAGTTATGTATCAGGCACTTAATGACACCAAAAATTTCCTTTTAGTGAAATTCATCAGCATGATATAGAGGAATAAAAGACTGAATGATGATTTTCATCTCAGCCCCTTATATTTGTCACCAAGCATGTGCCCTACCCCTCAAGTGTGTTTAGATAGACAAAATGTTGTATTCTATTAGGCTTTGGGAATTGTTTACTAGTACTTGCCAGAGAATACAAATTTGCAAAATTAAGATGTTTCAAATCTTTTTAAAATAGTTACAGGGTTTTATTTGTGCAATGATTCCAGACAAGTTTACATAATGCCTCAAGACCTAAGTCCTAGCTTAAGTTCCATAATAGGAACAAAGCAGGCATAAACATGCAAGCATACACAGATCTTGACCTTGAAATTCTTACAGTATAATATAGATAAATACATTCAAATGTAGGATAAATTTCAGGTAAGATACTGACCATAAAGGAAAGCATATGTGAGGTCATTACACAACACCTTTAAGGTGGTTATGGTCAAGAGGGCTGTTTTCTGAAGGACTGCTATTTATTTCCTTTTAGTTCTTTGCTTATGGACCAAGCCAAGGAATGATACCATGTACATTCAAACATCTGGATAATTTGCTTGATAAATGAATCGTGCTCTATCCCACATCAGGCTATTGAAACTTTTGTAGCTCATTGTACAATGCCTTCTTACTCCACTGTTCATTGAATTGCTCCTCCATCTTCAGATTTAAGCTTCCAGCTAAAAGCCTTCCCTCCTCATCCCACCACCATCCCACCATGCATAGACACCCTTCCTACGTACTCTGAAATGTCCTTGATCACTCTAAACTAGGAGATTCTTATGAACTGGATTGAAACTACTAGACTCTATCTCTATACTCCAATTCATGAAGATCAAGAATGTCTTTTACACCGGTGCACTTAGTGCCTAATACAATATAAGCATCATGGATTATTTGATAAATATTAGATATATAAAAGCGTATGTAACTTTCCTGGTTGTTAAGGGAACAATCTGTAGAGTCAAATATCTAGAATCATGGTTTAGTGCATACCCTTGCTACTTAGCATCTTAGGAAAGTCCTGTGCCTCCGTTTCCTCATCAGTTAAATGTGTGTACTAATAGTGTTTACCTCATGAGAGTTTTGTGATGTTAAATGATCTAATGAAGTAAAATGCTTTAAATGGAGCCCTACACATGGATTCAGAAACTGTTATTAATATTGTTATGTTTTCATAACTCTTTCTACCACCTCTATCTTACCTCCACCTCCAGTTTCTCTCTCTCATACATACATACGCAGAAACAAAAGCAAGACTGTGGGTCAGGATTATTTGATAGTTTCCTGAAGCAACAGTTTTGGCAAACTTTGAGCTTTTAGCAAGATAATACTATTTTTGAAGATCAGTAAACTAGAAATGGTCCAAATCCTCAACTGAAAATGTCTACTTTAAAATAGAGCGTTCATTTGAATTACTGCATGCTGTTTTATAAATGGAAGAGCTCCTTAAACACATTGTGTTTAAGTCTGTTAGATTCCCAGCATTGTGCTAGTCATCATAGAAAACCTTCTAACCTTTGAGAGATACTGAGAAAAGCATACTGAAACAGGAGTCGGGGAATTCTGTAGGTATGTTGTGAAGGGGTAACAATTAATCTGAGACTCATTAATGCATAAAATGGTAGACTGCATTTGATGTGCTAAGATCTGAAAATTGTATTCATGGTGCTCTAAAAATTCTGAAGTTTTTAAATATTTGGCAAAATCTTACTTTGTGTTGACACAGATTTCATGTATTATCTAATAGCATCTTTTTAAATAAAAATCAAACCCTATTGATATAAAGTGAAGATTTTATTTTCATTGTACCGTTATAAATTGTGTAAGATAGCATAAATATGACAGAACACTGAGAGTAAGTGGGAAGGAATTACTAGAGTGGATCATGCTGACAAAGTCCTGGGTGTTCTGTATGTGCCATCAAGTCAAAATCCTGATGAGGTTCACATAGTTAAGCCAAGAACTCATGAAAACAAATCTCAGTACTATGGAGTGACCAGATGGGAAAGGGAACACTTCCTGTTTATTAATATAACGTTACCTGTTACAGAGGACTAAATATATTTTAGCCAGTCATACCCTTTAATTTCTTAGAAAATCAGATCATTACAGATAGAAATATGCAGCGTGTTAGCAAATAAGAATTAGTAAAAATCACAGCCACAACCACAACCAAAGTAACATCCTAGGGCCAACACTGTGGCGTAGTGGGTAAGCCTCCAACTGCAGCGCCAGATATAAGGGCACCAGTTCGTGTCTTGGCTGCTCCTCTTCTGATTCAGCTCTCTGCTATGGCCTGATAAAGCAGTAGAAGATGGCCCAACACTTGGGCCCCTGTACCCATGTGGGAGACCTGGAAGAAGCTCCTGGTTCCTGCCTTCAGATCGGGTCAGCTCTGGTCATTGTGGCCATCTGGGGAGTGAGCCAGCAGATGGAAGACCTTTCTCTCTGTCTGTCTTTCTCTATGTCTGTAACTCTACCTCTCAGAGAAATAAATAAAATCTTAAAAAAAAATCCTAGTAGAAATGACAAGGAATGAAATAAATTGAAGCTCACACCAACAAACAGAACCTCAACTAAGGAGACTACCCATCTTTGCAAGATCATGGATTTAAACTCTGAAATGTTTAATTATATATAAGCAGATAATAATATAATTAAGTAGTTTTTGAAACTTTTATTTAATAAATATAAATTTCCAAAGTACAACTTACTGATTACAAAGGCTTTCCCCACCAAAACTTCCCTTCCACCCGCAACCCTCCCCTCTCCTGCTCCCTCTCTCATTCCATTCACATCAAGATTCATTTTCAATTATCTTTATATATATAAGATCAATTTAGCATATGTTAAGTAAAAATTTCAACAGTTTGCACCCACACAGAAACACAAAGTATAGTTTTTTAAAATTAATTTTGAGGACCTTTTGTAAAATATTTTAACATACACTTGCTATTGTGTGTGAAAATTTCTCTACTTGAAAGCAAAATCCAATCTTGCATTTTGTTCTTTAAAACATTCAGTATTGTCTGATTAAAGGGTTTTGTTCAATAATCATTGTTATCTAAATGTTTGACTTTCTCCTATACAGGTGAGAAAATAATGTCTGATGTTACCAGAGTATTTACTTATTTCTTTGAAAGGCAGAGTTACAGAGAGGCAGAGCAGAGAGAAAGAGAGAGAGAGAGAGAGAGAGAGAGAGAGAGAGGTCTTCCATATGCTGATTCACTCCCCAGATGGCCACAATGGCTGGAGCTGGGCTGATCCAAAGCCAGGAGCCAGGAGCTTCTTCCAGGCCTCCCACACAGGTGCAGGGGCCCAAGGACTTGGGCCATCCTCCACTGCCTCCCCAGGCCACAGCAGAGAGCTGGATCAGAAGTGAAGCAGCCAGGACTCAAACAGGCACCCATATGGGATGCCGGCACTGCAGGCAGCAGCTTTACCTGCTACACCACAGCTCCAGCCCCACCAGAGTATTTTAAATGTGCTGAACTGTTGTTAGTATCACCAAGCATGGTAGTAATTACAACTAATGAAATTTATGGAGGAATAAACTCTAAGTGCCATCTGTATTCCTGTGCTGTTTTTGGAGTAGATTTGTTGCTCATTTTCAGAGAGAGAGAATATCCCTCTCTAAGTGCTTTTTTTTGTGAAGAAAACATTATATGTGGTGGTGTAAGAGTAAGAAATGAAATACTATTCAGGGCTCACTGATAGATGAGATTAATTTAGAAAAGAAATATAAATAGACACCGAATAGTCCTGGGTACAGGAGGCATGGTTGTCCACATGAGCTGTAATGTGGAAGGTATTGCTTTGGGCAAAGGTTCACATGAACTCCTTTGAGAACCAAAATTTATTGTTTCCATTGTGTTTGGAGGGCACTTGCCAGCATTGCCCTCTCTCTTTGTGTTACTGAGAGCACGCTGACCTGACTGATTACTTCATATCAAGCCCTCATTCTTGGAATGCCCTGTAGAATAATTGTGTTTGCAATCCCAATAGCGCAGTGAGTATATGTATATTTTCTGGTGCATGATTTTTCTGGAGTCCAAAAGACAAGCTTGTTATTTCAAGGACACGTGTGCTGAGTTGGTGGTGATAGCTTTTACTAAGATGCTATCACGTCTAAACAAGGACACATTTATGCCTGCATCATAGCTGATTATCATGACCTGGGTCATGGTAGGCATCTGTACTCAGACTAAAGCTTTACTGTAGCTCCTAACATTAGGAAATGAAGAGTTCTAACGACAGTCTTCTGTTATCACTACATTTAAAAGCCTGTCATATTGACACCTTTATACTCCTTGTGACTTCTAAGGAGAAAAATAAAAATAAGGGATTTAACTCACACTTCTTGACTATGGGCACACAACCATGTGTTACAATTCATTCTCACCAAGTGTTTTGACACAGGGACTTTGTCCCCTGCCGAAGCGAAGACTCTTACCTGCTGCTTTGTGTTCTAGATGACTAAGAATGGCACTGTAGAATCTGAAGAAGCTAGCACTCTTACAGTGGATGACATTTCTGATGATGATATTGATTTAGACAACACAGAAGTAGACGAGTACTTCTTCCTACAACCCCTGCCAACAAAAAAACGAAGAGCACTACTGCGAGCCTCTGGAGTGAAAAAGATTGATGTAGAAGAAAAGCACGAGCTGCGAGCCATCCGCCTGTCGCGAGAGGACTGCGGCTGTGACTGCCGGGTGTTCTGTGATCCAGAAACGTGCACCTGCAGCCTGGCAGGCATTAAGTGCCAGGTAAGGATTTGGATTTCAGGGCCTCTAGAGAGAAGTCATGACCCACCACCACATGTAACACCCTTTCCTACATGTAGAAGAGAATGCTGTGGTAAAGGAAGGGGCATCATTCAAAAAGAAAGAAACACTAGTTCAAGGACATTCCTGGATATATACATTAGCTCTAACGTGAAAGACAACCCAAGCAGCAGTTGAATGAATTGAGATTAATTCCTCTTGGATTTGTGTGTTCCTTACCAGCTTAGTTTTGCATTTTTCCAAAATTCAGAGAGATCATAACATCTCTGACATTTGAGTTTGCATTTTCTGATCCATCCATGAGGCATTAAATAGGTGCTTTGGACTGGTGGGAAAGTTACTGGATGGGAAATTAGGAAAATGGAATTGTCCCTGCTGTTTGCTGACTAAGTGAAATTGGCAAATCAGGTAAACCTTCTGAGTCAATTTCCTCATTTCCAAAATGAAGAAGCCAGACTAGGTCAGAGTTGTCGAACTATCAATTCACAAACCAAATCCAACCTGCCACATGTTTTTGTAAAATTTTAGCAGAGCACAACTAGGTTTTTTAGCAGAGCACAACCAAGTGTGTGTGTGTGCTTGCTTTTTGTTTTTTGCTTATGTATTGACTAGGATTGATGACTGATTCCATGCTTCTACAACAGAGTTCAGTAGTTGCCATAGAAACCACTGGCCCACAAAATCTAAAATATTTACTCTCTTTTCCTTTGGGGGAGAAAAAAAAGCTCACCACAGTTACACAGTTACTATCTAATGCTAAGGCTTCCACTACAGATGCAAGAACACAGAGTCCATATGATTTTGGTCTCACTGTGGCAACCAAGTTGAATAGAGAAATACCGGAGAAAAATATGCAGAGAGAACTTTGGCAGCTCTGCAATACCCTTGTAAAGAGTGAAGAGCCTGCGTTACTCCAAGGAAGGAACTAAAACTTGAGTTTACACTGGAAGTGCTATAAAATATCCCTACTAGCCTCACCTGATTGATTATGCTCTTAAAAGCTTAAAGGTTAAACTAATTAAAAGGAAAAAAATAGTTTGCCAGCTCCTGGATTAGATGATCATGCATCTATGAGAGGTAAAATGCCTATCAAAAAAAGTGCATGGATTGAAAATATTTTTTGCACAAAAATAGATTTGTCTTTTTTTAAGATTTATTTTATTTATTTGAAAAACAGAGTTACAGAGAGAGAGAGAGAGAGGGAAAAATAGAGAGAGTGAAAGAATATCTTTCATCTACCGATTCAATCCCCAAGTGGCTGCAATGGCCAGGGCTGGGTAGGCCAAAGCCAGAATTCAGGAGCTTCCTCCAGGTCTCCCACTTGAGTGCAGGACCTCAAGCACTTGGGGCAACCTCTACTGCCCTCCCAGGCACATTAGTAGGGAGCTGGATCAGAAGTGGAGCAGCTAGGTCTCAAACCATTGCCCAAATGGGATGCCAGCGCTGCAGGCAGTGGGCTAACCCATAATGCCACAGTACCAATTCCTAAATTTATCTTTTTAATGCCATATGTCAATGAAGTTTCTGAAGTACCACTATGTAATTTCACAGTGCCCTATGATTGGATAGGTGCTGTTATTTTATGTAGAAACTAGGATTTTTCTTTTTTATTATTTTGCTATTTATTTATTTATTGAAAGGCAGATTTACAGAGAGGGAAAGGCAAAGGCAGAGAAAAAGAGGTCTTCCATCCTTGGTTCACTCCCCATATGGCCACAACAGCTAGGGCTGGGCCAGGAGCCAGGAGCTTCTTCTGGATCTCCTATATGGATGCAGAGGCCCGAGGACCTGGGCCATCCTCTGCTACTTTCCCAGGCACATTAACAGGGGCTGGATCAGAAGTGGAGCAGCTGGGACTCAAACCAGCTCCCATATGGGATGCCAGTTTTGCAGATGGTGGCTTAAATCAGGTAAAACAAGAAGACAGTTCCCACAAACAGACCAATTAATTGCTTAAGATGGATTTGCAGTAAAGAGATGGCTCAAATTAGAAAACAGTTACAGGGGTGAACATTTGGTCTAGCAGTAAAGATACCTGCATCCCATATCAGAGTGCCTTGGTTCAAGTCTGGCTCTGCTCTTGATTCTAGCTTCCTGCTGATGCACAGTGGGAAGCGTGGTGACAGCTCCAATAATTAGATCTCTGATACATCCGTACTCTTACCTGGATTCAGTTTCTAGCCCCTAGCTTTGGACTGGCCAAGTCCCTGCTATTGCAGGCATTTGGAAAGTGAACTAATGAATGATCTCTGTTATTCCGTGTCTTGGTTCTCTCTCCCCCTCTCTCCCTCTCTCCCTCTCTCTCTCCCTCCCTCTCTCCCTCTCTCCCTCTCTCCCTCTCTCTCTCCCTCCCTCTCTCTCTCTCTCTCTCCCTCTCTCCCTCTCTCTCTCTCTCCCTCTCTCCCTCTCTCTCTCCCTACCTCCCTCCCTCTCTCTCTCCCTCTCTCCCTCTCTCCTCTCTCTCTCCCTCTCTCCTCTTTCTCAAATAAATTAAAGAAATAAACAAAACTTAAAAGGAAAAAGAAAATAACTACAGATTCTGACCCTGATATCTGCTCTTTTAATTGTGAGCAGGATAGCTGTATTAGAGTCAGCCTTCTCTTCTGTAGCAGAAGAAGTTCCCTGTTCTTGGCTTAGGTTACAAACAAGGCAAGATTTTTTTTGTTTCCTGTACTTTGGTTGGCATACAGATTAATTTCTGGAGTCTGAGACTATTGGCAGAATCTTCAGAATACCTTTGGTTTGCCCACAATCTCACTTATCATCTGAATGAAGAGGTAACAACACTTGCTGAATCACCCAGCCACTTGAACAGTTAGATCTCGGATGTTCCTAAAATACATGCCCTTCCCTTGAGAAACTTGTAGTCTATGGAATGGGATGGGAAGGAAGAGGTCCAGGTCACATGCACCCATGGATCAAGGGTCCAAGAGAATGAGGAGGTAAACCAAGAAGAGCAAATCATGAGGGTGCCTCATACTAAGTGATACCAAGCTGGGCACCTCAAGCAGAGAAGCTAATTTTATACTAAACAAATGGGAAAATGCACCACTAGCATGAGAAAGTCATATAAGATTAAAAATAGCAGGTGGTGAGCAATACAATGAATTTGATTTTCTAAAATTGGCCCTATCGGACCAGCACTGTGGTGCAGTGAGTTAAGCCACCATCTGTGATACCAGCACCCATATGGGCATCAATTCTAGTCCTGGCTGCTCCATTTCTGATCCAGCTATCTGCTAATGCACGTGGAAAAAGCAGTGGAAAATGGCCCCAATCCTTGGGCCCCTGCATCCATGTGGGAGACCTGAAAGAAGCTGCTGGTTCCTGGCTATGGCCTGGCCCAGCCCTGGCTATTGCCACCATTTGGGGAATGAACCAATGGATGAAAGATCACTCTCCCCCCGCCACTCTGTCTCTCTCTGTCTTTCCCTCTCTCTCTCTCTCTCTCTCTCTCTCTGTGTGTGTGTGTTTGTGTGACTCTGACTTCCAAGTAAATAAATACACTCTTCTTTTTTTAAAAAAAATTGAATTTAAAAATATTGGGCCTGTGAAACACTGTTCACAATACCCAAGATGTGGAATCAATGAAAATATTCAATGACAGATGAATGGATAAAGCAAATGTGGTATGCAATGAAATATTATTCAACCATAAAGAAAGAATGAAATTCTATTCTTTGAAGCCATGTGTATGGAACCGGAGACCACTAGATTCAATGAAACAAGACAGGATAGAAAGAAAACATCACATAGTCTCATTTATATGTGGAAGCTAAAAGCTGATCTCATGGGAGCAGAGAACACTTGGTGACCAGGAAGCACAGATGTTGAAAGGATGGCTAGTATGTGCAAGGGTACCACTGGATAGGTGGAACAACTTGTGGTGTTCTATAGCACAGTAGGATAATTATGGCTGAAAGCAGTTAATTCAATATTTCACAAAGGCTAGTAGAGGACGTTTTGAATGTTCTCAGTACAAATCACATATGAGGTGATATCTGCCCATGACCCTGACCCAATCATTTTACAATGTGTTGTGTATCAAAATGCCACACTGTATCCCATAAATTACTATGTGCCAGCTAAAAATACTGAAATAAAATAACAAAATAAAGCAGAAGAAAAGGAGCATGTAGAAAAAACAGAAGTACTGCAAAATGGAAACAAAATTAAAGGCCCAGGGAGAAAAGAAAAATGGAAAATGGAGAAAGGAAAAAAGCACCAGCAGGGATCAATGAACTGAAAATATCCACTTACCCCCATAAAGCCCATTTTCACTTTGAGTTTAGGCTTGAAAACTAGTTAAGTCTTATGTTTTAAACCTTCACTTCCCCTTTGCAGTCCTATTTGCAGTTTGATTGTCATTTGCTCTGGCATAAGTGGATTACCTAATTCAAAGGGGTTGTTGAAAGGTACTGGATTTTTATTTGGTTTGTAATAGTTCCATGGTGCTAATCTCTGTTCTTCCTCCCAAGGTGGATCGTATGTCTTTCCCGTGTGGCTGCACTAAAGAAGGATGTAGTAACACAGCAGGTAGAATTGAATTTAATCCTATCCGTGTCCGGACTCACTTTTTGCACACAATAATGAAACTTGAACTGGAGAAAAACCGAGAACAGCAAATCCCCACGCTGAACGGCTGCCACGGTGAGATAAGTGCTCACAGTAGTTCCATGGGCCCAGTCGCCCACTCAGTAGAATATTCTATTGCAGACAATTTTGAGATTGAAACTGAGCCCCAGGCTGCAGTACTGCACCTGCAGTCTGCTGAGGAATTAGATTGCCAAGGAGAGGAGGAAGAAGAGGAGGAGGACGGGAGCAGCTTTTGCAGTGGAGTCACCGATTCTAGCACGCAAAGTCTGGCACCTAGTGAGTCAGACGAGGAGGAAGAGGAGGAAGAAGAGGAGGAGGAAGAAGAGGAAGAGGATGATGATGATAAGGGAGACAGCTTTGTGGAAGGTCTGGGCACCCATGCAGAGGTTGTCCCTCTTCCTTCAGTTCTTTGTTATTCTGATGGCACTGCTGTTCATGAAAGCCACGCAAAAAACGCTTCTTTTTATGCCAATTCTTCGACTCTGTATTACCAAATAGATAGCCACATTCCAGGAACTCCTAACCAGATCTCTGAGAACTACTCTGAAAGAGATACTGTCAAAAATGGTACCCTCTCGCTGGTGCCTTACACAATGACCCCAGAGCAATTCGTTGACTATGCCCGTCAAGCAGAAGAGGCCTACGGGGCCTCCCACTTCCCAGCTGCCAACCCGTCTGTGATTGTTTGCTGCTCCTCTTCTGAAAATGATAGCGGTGTGCCCTGTAATAGCTTATATCCCGAACACAGGTCCAATCATCCTCAAGTGGAATTTCACTCATACTTGAAAGGCCCCTCCCAGGAAGGGTTTGTCTCTACGTTGAATGGTGACAGTCACATTTCAGAGCACCCTGCTGAAAATTCTTTGAGCCTTGCAGAAAAGAGCAGATTGCACGAAGAATGCATCAAGTCACCCGTGGTTGAGACTGTCCCTGTGTAGTAGCTGAAACTATTCTAGGACCAGATCTTCTCCTATTTAAAGCACTGAATTGAATTGGACTTCCTGGGCTCAATATTGTTTTTACTGAAGACCAAGAAAACTTGGACTGTGGTTCATCTTCCAGACTGTATTTTGTTTTCTCCTTTCTAGCTACATGACTGTGGCATTGCACAAATACAGTCTCTATAAGGATTTTAAAAGATTTCAGACTGTTTTGATAGAAAATGCTAAATTTTAAAAATGCATATCTCACAGTTGCCTCTCTGTCAAACTGTGTGAAACCTGCCAAGCTGTGTAGATCAGAGCTCCAAGTTTTGGATTATCGGGCCTGTGCAAGATTGTTATCTAAGACTGGGAAATATGATTTAGAGTCCTAATTTTCGATATATCTGAAGATGATGGGGACTTTTTAATGTAAAAGTAATTATTATAAGACAAAGATTTAATTGTCCCATGTGTATTTTATTTATGGTAGTTTAGAAGTCACGTTTTTATGAACAGCAGCATGTTCATCCGAACTGAAGATGCATAGCCAGGACCACAAGAGCATGCCCACTTGGATTGCATCTCAATCCATTCACGTTTTTATGATCATCACTGATCAGATTTGCAAATACTTTCCTAAGGGTGAAATAGGCCTATTTTTGCTAGTTTGGACAAATAAATGAGTCTATATGTGCAGGTCCTTACACAGTTTTCTCTAAAGTTAAGACTTAGGACAATCCTCTGGCGAGGGCCTTCTTCACTGCCCTCCCTCAGTGGACTCCAGAGATGGAGGTAGAAGGAATTGCCTTTCTTTTGTAAACAGCAGCATCTTGGTTCTTACCTTGGACAGCACCTTTAAGCTCTACCCCCTCCATCAAAATGCACTTTAGTGCCCCTTCACGGTACCTCGTGTGGGGTGGGGACTGACAACACTTTGAGATGAAAAAATTTTTAAATACTTTTTAAAAAGATCTGTAACTATTGTAAGGTTCACACATTTAATATATGATCCCACGGAGGAAAAATGACCTGTTTTCTTTTGCCACTCTGAGGACCTGAGTACGTGCAGAGGAGGCTGAGGAAACATGTCAGAGACACACCCTGAGCATGTAGTCCTTGCTCCAGCCTGATCAACCCGTCCACACAAAACACGTGTGTAATGAGATTGCCACTTAGCGATGAGCTGATTGAAGGGGAGGCCTCCACCCAAATGCTCAAGTAGGCCTTACTTTTCAGAAGCATTTTGATTTGTCTTGCCTGGGACAATTAGCAGAAAAATCCAGAATGCATTGCATACTTTCTAATTACCTCATGTTCTCTTTTGAAAGGGAACAGATAGAAATAAAACATGCACTCCCCACCTTCAGATTATCCATATTTGGTTCATCAGAGGACTTCTTTAAATTAGTTTAGGTAACTTAATAGTGTGCTCTACCATTTTATAATGCAATATGACTATGCTAAACCTGTTTCACATTTTGATCTTCTATTGTTATGTCATTTCAAGTGTTTTATGATAATTAGAAATGTGGACACACGTTGCTACTCAGTGACTGCATAGCTACTCATTTTTTTATGTCTTTTAGATGAGTATTTAGAAATATGGATATAAATGTACTGTAGATCTCAGTTCTTTTCAAAAATGCTATTTTATTTAATTGAACTTAAAAATGCTTGATCTAGAGAAAGGTCTCCAATGGAAAAGTTCCTACAAAAACTTGATTTGAGGAAAACATGTTTACTTGGCAGCTCTTCCATGGTGGAGTTGGTTCCTATTCCTTCTCTAGCCCACCACTCAGCTGAATTTATGGCAATTCATACTAACATTAAAAAAGCTTTTGGTTTATCTTTATGTCGGTACTCATAACTAGGATAGTTCCTTTTGAATGATCCACTCTTCAGACTAAATGGAGTTATTCTCAAATCTTGGTAGTGTTTGCTGGGGTGTTTGTAAAGTTACGGTATTTAGTAGTAGATGTTCAAAAAAATTTTCTCAGCCAATACAGTCTAAAGAACACAGGCCCCAAAGGAAAATGACAAGCGGCTATTGTCAGTTGATGCAAGCGTAGGAAAGAATCACATGTTCCGTATTTGCTGGACCCTTAAAAGCTCTGGGAGATCTACATGGGAAACACTTTGAGGTTATTATTGGAACACCTAGTGTAGAGAGTGGGGTGGAGCCAACTCCAGCTGGGACAGAGCTGACGGATAGAATGACAGTCCAGTTTCTGAATCGATACTTTAATTTTAGTTCAGCTTTATTTTCTCAAGAAGGTTTGAAGCCTACTTTTTTGTTTGGCCAGGTTTCTGTAATATAACATTTTTTCCCGAAAAGATGCTTTAAAAACAGAGCTTTCCTTGCCCCACCTTTCTGTCTTACTGGGTAGAAAGTCACTGCCCTGCTAAGAATTAACCTTCCAACCATAAAACTTTCATTCCAAAGTGTCATATACCTTTGTAACTCCTAAACATTTCCTACGAATTACATATGTAAGCTACATATTTTAAAAACTCACACACACACACACACACACACATGCACACACAAATATGTGCACACTAAAGTAGAGAATGATAGATTTTAGTTATTGACTAGTAATGAATACTGACCTTTTCCTCCCCTAGTATCTGGTTGGGTTTTATGATCTAAAAGTGTGATCTAGAAAAGAGGATAATTTTTGAAGCTGTAGTTTGAAAATACTGAGTCAAAGTTGCAAATAATACTAATGATAGGATCATTTCATTGCTACTTCCTTTCCCAGAAAAGCTAAGATAGCACAATGTTCCATCTGACTTTTTTTTCCCCAGTAATAGCCCCTGTATTCAACAAAAACTGCCCACATGACAGGAAAGTGCTACAGTTACTCTAAGCTTTTAAAAAGGGGGATCAGGCTAGATGCAGGTAGTTGGGGTACTTCCGACCTTTACACCAAAACACAATACCCTGACTTGCAGCTGTTGCGGTGCCCCCGTAATTTAACTAACCAAATTATAGTTTTTTGACACAACATTTTAGTAATTCAATGTCAATTGCAAAGCTTAGTGTGTTCCAGTTTCTGCTGTTTTAGCACCAGCCCCATACCTATAAATGGGGCTTAATTCTCAGTTATAATTCTGGTCAAATTGATTTGCAAGTCAAGTGGCTGGAGCAGCTTTCGTCTCCTTTGTCATTCTTGATTTCCTTTGAGAGGAAGAAGTCAATGAAAGAGTTTTACTTAAGTCCCCCCACCACCAATATTTTGATCATCAATTATTAAGACATAGATAAAACTCCACTTGTCACATGTCTTTTGGTTGATTGAATAATATAGCTACTTTTTGAAAGCCAGTCTCTTTTTGTGTATTTTTCCCAGTGTTCCAGCCACATTATCAACTGTTAAAATCTTGATAATCATGTCTGGTACAGCAGTACTGTTCTCACTCAAATAAAACTGCAAGTTCGAGAAACACTGGCTATGAATTAATGAAGAAGTAGAGATTTTGTTAAGTGATTATGTTCTTTAAAATTTTATACTCTGACAGATGAGTTCTAGGCAAAGGTCTTTGCCTAATGGCAAATATATTGTGATTTATTTCCATAAATTGCTCTATCATTTATTCTTTGGCTTAAAAATTTTATATTGTTGTACAAATTTATATCCTTTTGGTCTTGATAGTCAAAATTTATTGAGTATAAATTCTTTCTTTCCATGATATTTATTGAACACCTGCTATGTTGTAGCAATTGCTTTGGGTAGTAAAAAGTATAAGATGAAACATTCCCAAGTCTAAGAGGTGACAATGATGATTGATGATGATGATGATGCAGGGTCGCATGAAATAATCAAGCTTATTCATGTCCTTTAATCTATGATTTTATAACATGACATAGATTATTGTCTAATTATATGCAAGCTGCAATTAAAAGGATGCTTCTTTTCCCTAAACTAACGAAACTCACTGAATCCTCCTTCTTCCTTCTTCCCTCATCTTAAATGACAGAATTCACTCAAAGCTCAGCTAAGACTGAAACAAGTGAAAAAGAGACTTTCAGCTAACTTTCTTCAATGTTGAACCTACATAAGTAATGCTAAATTTATATCAGCAAATGCTTACCAGACCAAAGTGGGTTTGATTCATGCATAATGCAGGAAATAAGTTAAGAGAACTTTTGAAACAACTGTGGAAAATAATCACTTTTCTTTCTATTCATTAATAGCCTAGCAAAATAGCAAAATCCTCTTCCAAGTTCCAAAGGCATCGCCTAGCAGAATGTGGAAAATAGAGGTCATTAGTTCCTCTCACTTTTAGCTGGAGTTATAAACCACCAAATTAGTCATTAGAAAAGTGTCATCCTCAGAAGTCAACAAGAGACTTTTTAAAACTTGCCATAGAGCCTTCTATTTCTGCAAATATAAGTTAAAGTTTCACCTTAAAATTGCATCTGCTTGTTATTCTCTTTAGAAAAAAATTTACAGTGTCATTATGGTCAATGTGTAAAACACAGAGGAAGCACTTTTAGGCTGTCAAAGGCAAGATTTGACTATTTTGAAACTCTGTCTTCTATCTTTACCACAACCAGCACCAAAAGCTTGAAACCTCAATCATTCTTAGTTCTAATTTAAAACTTCAACACCTGATTCCATTCTTTTTCTGAGATCTGCTAACTTGTGCTGGAGTAACTTAAATGCCTAAACCAAATGCCACAGTTTTGTTCAAATAGCACAGCTCATCAGATGTTTTCTGTAACATTAAAGAATCTAATTGGCTTAATTGACTGAATGCCAGCAATTTGAAAACTCACTAGAAATATAGCAGCATCAGGGTGTGGGTGAAGGTGGAGAATAAGCTTAATAAGTGGCAGTGTCTCCTGGGAACTATGAAAGCGTTCCAGCAGAGCTAAGCTAGGTCTTATTAAACCACCAAGTTCACATATGGCACCCTGAAACCCAGAAGGGGCAGTTCCAGCACGGACACACTCACAGCCCAGCTGGTGCCCACATCTCCTGGCCAACATTCACATCAGTTACATTTTACTATCTCTAGGGCATGTGATGCTTTAGAAAACAAAAACAGACTTACAGCATTTAAAGTAACTATCTTTAAAGAAATGCAAATGTGTTTTATAGTAAAATGACTGACAAATGACTTGCATTGTTATCAAAAGTAAGGAATACAGAAATAAAAGAGCTCTTTCATATTTTGCTACCAAATCTACACATTATGTGACTCATTACAACAGTCACTACTAAGCTTACCTAGACTCCTCTCCTGGCTTTTCAAGATAGACCCACTTTCTAAATCATCCAAGAGTTCTATTTTATGCTTTCCCTTTTTAAAAACATATAAAGGAACAGATTTATTTAACTCATGGGTTTGCAGATTCAAGGGCATGGCCCTGGCATTGTCTCAGTTCTGGTGATGAACTTCTTGCTGGCTGAGTCCAAAGTACCACATGATATCACGAGGCAAGAGACAGGGAGTGTATGTGTCTCTATCTCTGTTTATTTCTTTATTATCACAAAAAAAATCCACACTTGTTATCCCTTGGGTTTTACTAACTACATGCAGTCTGGCCAGCACTGAGTTTCAGATTCTGAGAATGATGCCTGAGATACAGGGGGTGGCAGGCCGGAGATTGTACATAACCATATTCAAAGCCTAAACTGGTGTCTTTTCAGTTCATTTTTTATGTAGATTTTTGAAAATTTTATTAGCAGATTGCTTGGAGTTTTAATAAATACAAATACTTATTGCAGCTATGGAGAATGAAGTAACTCAAAGATTTAAGTCATGCTGGTGTCTATTTTCTTATAAAGGGTAATTGCGTTTTATTTGATCCTTTTCACTTAAATGTAATTCAAAACAAGTCATCTCTGCAGTGTCATTTTATTTCATATTTCACAAAAGTTTCTGTAGAACTGAAGTTTCAAAGGAATATGATAGATAGAATAGTATTTTGGACAATCTGCATTCGATATGCTAATGATGTAATTTCTCTCTTCGCATTACTCATTCATTTCCATGGTGATAAGCAAGTCAGTCCAATAACTCACTTCAGTGACATGTGAGAACATTTAAATATTTTAAAGACAACATATATTGATTTAAAAAGACTTAAGATAAGGCAAATTTATGGCAGAAATTAGCCTTGCCCTTATCTAAGTTAATTTATATGACCTAATTGATTGCTCTCTGTTGTAATTTTGGAGTAAATTCATTGTTACATAACTTTTTTTCTTTCTCTGTTGCCCTTCTCTCAATAGTTTTAGCAGTCTTAGGGTTATCTTAAATGTTATTTATTAATAAGTATTTGAAAGAAATTTGACTTAGGAAATCTGTGTTTAAAAATGATCTAGGTGCTTCTGTCCCAGAGATCTTCATCACTTTCTTCTGCCACACTGGGTAAGGCTCCCTACTCCTTGCTTGGGAGGTCTGGGGCGAGGTCTGGGGCAAGGTCTCATAATGTGGTTTTGCTGTTGTCTCTACATAGACAAAGTATTGGGGGGAAAAACACAGAATTTGAAAATTCTAATTTTGTAGCACATTTTATCCAATTTATTTTGCCTTTCTTTTCCATGTTCTCAACCCGGTTTCCCCCACTAGCCATTAAAAGAGCCATCTATCTTCAAAACAAATTCAAAGAAAGAAAAGGAAATAATAAAATCCAAATCCAAATTCTTCTAAAAAGGAGAAACTGAAATATTGAAACACAGGAAAGAAATTGTTGTCTTCTTAAAATTCGATTAATCTTTGAGTGATTTCATGGTACCCAGATGAAATTGCAGCTTGATAGATTTTAAGATTTAGTACTTGGCAAAGTCATTTTGTTTGTAGCAGCATCAAATAGGATCTGCTGTCAAAGGTTACTGGCTGAATGCTGATTCATTAGGTACCCGTCATGCCAACCGCTTCTCTCAGAGCAGTTTAATCATTTCAGAGACACTCACAATTGCCAACTGTGTGTGAATAAAGGGAAGTTTGAGATTCTTCTGTATCCTTCAATTTTTATAGTCCTGAGACTCAGAGAGTACTCCAGGGGTCATGAGGCTCATCCATCTACCTCCAGGGAGGACTGTCACTCAGACATGCCCAACAGGATAGAGACCCATCTATTCTTCACATCTCTAGGGAAGGTTGTTTCCTTGGCAACACAATGTAGCTCTCTCAGGTCTTCTCACAATGAGAAAAAGTCTTGGCCAGTCTATATGAGAGAGGCACTGGGCAATGGTTATAGCAATTTGGGCCATTGTACTGAAGTTTTCCCTACATTGGACTGGAGTGGGTTTTCCCCTACCTTGGCTATTATATTTAGTGATTCCAGAAGTATCCGAAGAAATTAGATTTGTAAAGAAAGATGTGAGTACTGAGACAGTGCTCCATAACATGACCTATTTTTGACAAATACAGCCATAGTTAGTTTTTGTTTTTCATTGCTGTTATGTCAGGAGGTAATAACAGACAAGTGACTGTTTCGGATCCCAGTGACAAACATCAAAAGTAGGATCAAGACACTCAACTTTTCAAGTGTTCAATCTTCTCAGAAGTTACAGTTACACAAAGTAAACATGTTCTTCAATGTTGCTTCTAAATATCTCCTCACCAATCTATCTTTTTTCTAAAATGACAAATAAGAATCTGAACTCTTTCCACTCCTTCTGGGGAAGATGAGATTAGCTGTGCAGATACTAATGTGGAATAAAATGACTGCAGAGGGCCCCAGCCTTTGTCCACATGTTACTCGGACATTGGCTGATTGCTTTCTCAAGGATCAGGAAAATGATCGAAAAGTTGTCATCTTGTTAAGGCCTGAAACAAAAATAGTCTTGGATGATGGTGATATTTTTTATTGTTTCTAATCACCTGACCCAAGCACTACCTGCAGCTTTCAAAGCTTTTCCTGTTTCCTTGGAGTTGACTTGACTCCAAGGCAGAATAAGCCAGAAGATGAGGAGCATACCTGAAATCAATGTTTTCGTTCTCCACAGGATTTGTTTCAATCTAGGTGCAGCTGTTTATTTCCCCAACGCCAACGCTGTTGTGAAATGACAGCCACATCAGTGTGGCTACTCCCCACAAATACCACTAGGGGGAAATGATCCTTTTTGTTTGAAAAATAAATGCTGTAGAATGCTCATGTAAAGAATGTAATACAATTTGGCCCATGTTTTAATTGACTGTAGCCACCTCTATGGAAATAAGTCTGAGGTGTAGTTTGTGAAACATGTTTCAAACGTGTTTGATGTATAATAAATGCTAGACATTTACAGTACATAACTAGTAAAAAAATATTTTAAACCTGTAGATTACAACTCTGTTCCTAAGAACCTCAGCCTTTATTGTGTCTTAGTAAAGTTGATCTGCTTTCTTTTCAGTTTATTGCATTTCTGGTGTAATAGCCTCTTAAGATAGAACTATTAATACATATGTACTGGTTAATGCCTGTTAATGCATAAAATGGCACTTTGTTATTTCAGTGTGTTTCCCCTCAGTGTCACAGGGTATATCAATTTGATAGGAAAGGTCATTTGACATTAATCAAAATCACATTTTTCCCCATCAAAAGGATATATGTATAATTGGTTGCTTAGATAAATGTCACATTTTTCATTACCTTTACCTTGATCATAGTCTTAAAACATCATCTGTGTCTCCACATTCCAGCTTCCATAGAAATTTGGTACATTTGCAAATCATGGTGAAATCTGGTGAGCTGAATGTATTGGTAGAATAAATGATCCAGAGAACTCGAATGTCATCCTTCTATGTTGAGCCATTCAAACACTAGGAATGGTCCTTACGCAAGGGAAGTCTTTTGGGAGTATCTGTTTTTATTCTGTGTTTTTGTTTGTTTGTCGCTAGCAAAAACAAAAAAAATCTTTAAAAACTCGGAAAAGCTACTGCATTGTGTTTTTGACAGGATGATTGGTTTTATCTTTCAACTGATTTTTATTATTACCTTTATTCAATATCAACTGTAATTCAATAGACATTTTATTACAGTTATATTCAACCAAATGACTTACAAATGTTTGAAGAAGAAAATTAAACTACAGTACATACATACAGTCATTTTACACTCAGATGTCATGTTGCGTGTAGAACACTTTCTAGATTGATTTCTCTTGTGTGTAAGTTATAACATCAAAGATGCCAAAGGGTATATGAAATAAGCTACAATAATATTCAACAGAACTTAACCTGGACCTTATGTTGTAATAATTTATTCATATTAGCTATAGTCTTCTGTATTTATATTTTCAGTATTTATTATGAATGACATGGAAATTTGTGTATTTATTGTGGCTTTTTATTGCAGTGTGTAAATATATATATTACAAATAAGCATTTTTAAGTCCTCCCCTTAAGTTTCTTTTATTAGTGGCCCTTGTATTATGCTGTACTTTTTCTTAATATACTGTACAATATCTTGTCCATTTGTTTGCAGCAGAGTAAAACTGGTTTCTAAGTTGTAGCTACTGTTGCATTTTTGTTACATTTTGTGTAAATCCTTGGTTTTTACATCCTGAGCTTCAGTCTCTCATTCTGTCTTGTCACAGCACACACAAGGATCCCCCCTCCCTTGTGAGCAGATAACATTCTTGAAATTTGTGTGTGAAGCCAGTTCCTGGGAATGGCTCATTACATTATCATTTCAAAGATGTGCTAACTTTATTATGATGGATCCCTAAGTGGAGACACTTGCAACACTTTTCTTTCTCAGCTCTTCAACCCCTTCATCAAGTAATGATGCGTAAACAAACAGGAGAGCCAACCGGGACTCTATGTAAATGAAATCTGGGAGGATATTTTTACAAAGACAAATAGGATCTCTTCTAAGTCGTATCCTTTAATTCAACTGCTTACTAGTATTTTTGTTTTCCCTTTGCTTAAAGCAGAATCTATGTGATTTGATGTTCAGAATATAAAAAGGTACTTCACAAAATCTGTGGAAAATGCAATTAAAAGATAAGTATTTTGGTGCAAAAAATTTTTGAAATCCATGATACTTGTATTTCCTTATCTTTTTATTTTAAATTATTATTTGTTTATTTCAAAGATGGCCAAATCACCCATCTGCTGGTTTACTCCCCAAATTCTGCAACAGCCAATTCCGGGCTGGGTGGAAGCCAGGAACTGGGAATTAATCTGAGCCTCTCATGTGGGTGGCAGAGATCCACCTACCTGAGCCATCACCTGCTGCTTTCCAGGGGACACATTACCAGGAATGCTGAAATTGGAAGTGGAACCAGGACCCAAACCCTGCAATATGTGGTGTGGGCATCTCAAGCAGCATCCTAACCACTGGACCACCCATCTCTTTGAAGATGTTGACTTAGCCGAGTTGACTTAGCCAAAACTTAATTTTTATTGGCAGTGGAATGAAAAGAAGCTACATTCTTCTTAAGGTCCTGTCATTTGCAAGATACTGTCCTAAAACAACTTGTTTCTTATACCTGAAGACTAGATCTATATTTATGAAAGTTTAATAATATGAAATTGTGTGATCACCCTAAAACTCAGATTGATCTTACTCACTTACTTAAAATCTTCAGTAGAGTTCCTTCCTTACTGCCAAATTAAATCTAAACTTTTGAATGCCTCACTAGGACTTCTAAGATCTGGATTCGACAAACTTCCCTGGCCTTTTTACTCTTCAAATCAACTCCCTTTATACCATCTCCTCCCATCACATCCTCCCCTATCCACATAACACGTTACTTAAATTTGCCTACTATTCCATTTTCCCCAACTTCTGTTCAGTTCACCGCTACTACTGCTGAGGATATGCACCCAACTACACGTAAACCCCTCATGACAATACAATTCTAATGACCATCTACTCCAGAAGAGACTATACCTTGCCTTTCTAACTATGCTGGAAATTAATTACCAGCTCTTTAAAAAAAGATTTATTAAAGAGTTACAGAAAGGCAGAGGCAGAGAGAGGTCTTCTATCTGCTGGTTCACTCCCTACATGGTCACAATGGCCAGAGCTGTGCCAATCCGAAGCCAGGAGCCAGGAGCTTCTTCCAGGTCTCCCACATGGGTGCAGGGGTCCAAGGACTTGGGCCATCTTCTAATGCTATCCTAGGTCATACCAGAGGGCTGGATAGGAAGTGGAGCAGCCAGGACTCAAACCAGTGCCCATTTGGGATGCCAGCACTGCAGGTAGCAGCTTTAACTGCTATGTCACAGAGCTGGCTGCATTACCTGCTCTTTTATGCCCAAGGCAAACATTTATTAGAGTCCCTTCAATTTTCACCGCACACACTAATTTATGGAACTCCTCCTTCCTTGGGGCTCCCTCGGATCTGAAAACTAATCTAACTACTGCGTGATCTCAGCATACCGCTTAGGGCCTGAAATAGAGCAGTTGCTTAATATATACTCACTGGCACCTGTGAAGTGCAAAAAGGAGTGTGGCAAAGTATACAGCTGTATAGGAGCTCAGATGAGAGGGAGATGCCTGGCTTAAAGGAGGAAAAATCTTCCAGACTCAGTAGGAGGAAGAATTTTCAGCAGATGAGGGCATCCCATGGTCCACAATATGGAACGATCTGAGGACAAAGTCACTCTTTTCTACGTAGAGCAGAAAGATCTTATAAAGACTAAATGATTACTTTTACAGACCAATGACCAATCAGATGAAAGAATGAAGTCAGGTAGTTGCAGAACTGTAAAGACCCATCCAAAGTGTCTGATTTGTGTCTTCAGGAATAGGGAAAGCCTGAAGATATTAGCTAGGAAAGCTCAGCCAAATAAGAGGGACGATCCTGATAAGAATGGGATATCCGCGTGGCTGCAGTACACCGGTAGCTCGGCAGCACAGAAATGCTGCAGGAACAGTCTTCTTTGCGGCTATCGTGATCACCATTAAAAGAATACTAGTAGATAAAGGGCCTACCCAGCTTCAGACACCAATATGGAATGAGGGGGCAGTGAGGACAAGTAAGGTACATTGCTCTAGACATGCAGGGATGGGGGTTGAGGTCATTAGGACACGTAAGAGGGCAGTGCTCTGAAGGCCTTTTAACACATGAGTGATTAAAGGCAACAGCATTACAAGCTCAGTGCTCGTGTGGAATATGGGGAAGGACTTAAGAGGACAGACATCAGTAATTGCAATTAGGATGCGATACAGAAGAATACATCAGTTCATTTTGGAAGGGTTGAACTGATGGTACACTCAAAACATAGATGGGCAGGAAGAGCTAGAGTCTAAAGCTTAGATAAAGATGCAGACTTGGAGTGAATGAGAGTTTGGAGTGGAGAACAGACTTAGAAAGGTGTAACAGAGAGGGTGAAGACTATATATATATATATATATTTTTTTTTTTTTGACAGGCAGAGTGGACAGTGAGAGAGAGAAACAGAGAGAAAGGTCTTCCTTTAGCTGTTGGTTCACCCTCCAATGGCTGCCGCGGCAGGCATGCTGTGGCTCGTGTACTGCGCTGATCCGAAGGCAGGCGCCAGATGCTTCTCCTGGTCTCCCATGGGGTGCAGGGTCCAAGCACTTGGGCCATCCTCCACTGCACTCCCTGGACACAGTAGAGAGCTGGCCTGAAAGAGAAACAACCGGGACAGAATTCAGCGCCCCAACTGGGACTAGAACCTGGTGTGCCAGTGCCACAGGCGAAGGATTAGCCTATTGAGCCACGGCGCTGGCCGACTATATTTTTTAAAAAGATTTATTCATTTTACTTGAAAGTCAGAGTTACATAGAGAGAGGATAAGAGGCAGAGAGAGAGAGAGATCTTCCATCCACTGGTTCACTCCCCAACTGTCCGCAACGGCCAGAGCTGCGCCAATCTGAAGCCAGGAGCCAGGAGCTTCCTCCGGGTCTTCCACGTGGGTGCAGGGGCCCAAGGACTTGGGCCATCTTCTACTGCTTCCCCAGGCCATAGCAGAGAACCGAACCAGAAGTGGAACAGCCAGGTCTTGAACTTGTGCCCATATGGGATGCCGGTACTGCAGGCGACTGCTTTACCCACTGCACCACAGCTCCAGCCCTGCCTGGTGAAGGCTTTAAAAAAGTTAGTGTTTCAGGACCAGTATTGAGGGTCAGTGGGTTGAGCCGTTGGCTTCGATCTCAGCATCTATATTAGAGCTAGTTTGAGTCCTGGCTGCTCTGCTTCCCATCTATCTCCCTGATAATGTGCCTGGGAAAGCAGTGGATTGTGGCTCAGGCACCTGGGCCTGTACCACCCAAGTGGGAGAATTGGATGGAGTTCGAGGTCCTGGCTTCAGCCTTGCCCAATTTCATTGTGGCCACTGGGGAGATAATCAGTCAATGGACGAGCTCTCCATCTCTCCCTCTCTCTTGCAGTCTGCCTTTCAAATAAATAGTCTTATACCTTCTTATAGAATACAGAAACCCTCTCTGCTAGTGTCTCAGATTCTAGATGGAGTAGAGCATGCAGGGTTTTTATCAGAGATAATTACTTGTGGAGAATGGGAAGGGGCAAATTAGGAAAAGAGAGGAATCAAGCTGTGGTATAGGCCTACCAAAGCCCCAGCCAGACCAACCCCACAGGGTGCACTGGCACAGAAGGGCTCCTGTAAGCTGTCCCTTGGTGGACTGAAACATGTAGATCTTTGCAGCCACCCCACAACTGGTCACTGGATGGGGACTCCTCCATTAAGCGAGTGTTCTTGGGTGAGTTGGCTCTCTGTCACTCAGAGGACACAAACAAAGAAAACACCTGGAAGAAGCTAAGAACTGGAGGATGTTTGCGGACAGCACTCTGAAAAACTGGAACAAGTCCTCCCTTGAAAGGGAATCCCTGAAGGTGGAACAGCTCTGTCTTCCACACCCATCCCTCAGATACACTTCTTCATTTATGCTTCAGGAAACATGGGTTTTTGGACCCAGCAGTTAAGATGTGGGTTAAGATGCCTGTGTCTCTTACCACAGCACTTGAGTTAAATTTCTGGCTCTTGCTCCTGATTCCAGCTTCCCATCAATGCAGACCTGGAAGGCAGTGTTGATGACTCAAATAGTCAGGTTCTTGCCACTCACACAGGAGACCGGGATTGAGTTCCTGCCTTCTGGCCAAGTCAGGTTCTGGCTGTTGTAGCCACTTGGGAAGGGTCTCTCTCTCTCTGTTTCTCTCTCTCTCTCTCTCTCTCTCTCTCTCTCTCTCTCTCTCCCCTCTGTGTGTGTCTGTGTTTCTTTTCCCAACTTCTTCAAAAAATATAAATAATTTTCTAAGAATAGCCCATCCATGTTTCTGGCCAACCTCTCTGCCCGGAGAAAAATTAGAACTTGGTTAGTAGACTAAACTACAGACCCTAACACTCCAGCTCTCCAGCTGATCATAGAATCACAACTGATATGGTCATCTTCAAGTTTCACTGTTAATTCTACATTCTTTTCAGTTTTAATCAATTCTGCTAATCTCAATGGTTCATGTGGTGGTACAGTCCAGATTCAACAGGCAGCTTAGTGTATGCTTCTTCCTGTGTCCATTA